TTTTTTTTTTTTTTTTTTTGCAGATCACTTTTACTTTGTTGATTCTGGCTACCCAAACATGCCTGAATTTCTTGCCCCTTATCGAGGTCAAAGATATCGTCTGCGTGACTATGTTGGACGGGGAAGACTACGCGGGAATGAAAAATTGTTCAACTATTGACACTCCTAGTGCCGTAACATTATTGAACGTTGCATTGAAGTTTTAAAGGCAATATTTCCTATTTTGAAATTGATAACCAATTATCCTCTTAGTAGACAAAGACAAATCTCTACTGCATGTTGCGCAATACATAACTTTATTCGTCGGAGCACGCTTTAGATAGGTTGTTCGCTGAGTATTCAGAGGAGAATATGGTGTTCGAAGATATACTAGAGTCAAGTCCAGCACAAGAAGCCATACATTTTGATGCTAGTCAAACAGCTCAAATGTGACAAGTTAGAGATCAAATTGCTACACAAATATGAAATGACTACTCAAAACGTCGCACGTGACTCCGTGAATTTATTTTTTATGTAGTTCAGTATCTGCTTATTTTATCATAATACGTAAAATTCTCATCGTATCTTCATCAAATGTAATGTAGGTTGTGTTTTTAATATCTTGAAAAATAAATTTACGTTTCACCAATTTTAAATTCTATATATTATTTAATACTATATCAACATTACACAATTAAAATTTATTGAATAATCAGTTTTTTTGAATAAAATATTTTTAAAAAATTTTCAAAATTTCAAAGTAAACGCGTTTTCCATTTTTATGTTTTCGGAAACAGTTTTTCAGAATGACAAAGAGAACGCATTTTCAGAAATTTCAAAACAGACACCCAAAATACAAAACAAATTCAAAACTCAAAACACAAAACTGAAACACAAAGAACGACCCCTAAATGTTCTAAAAAACAAGCATTTTAACGTTTCAATTTAAAGAAATTGATACAACTTTTTTTTTTTTTTGGTTATAGGATGCTACATAGGGGTTGTAGAAGATAAGTTATACTACTAATGTCAACAAAATATTTTCTGTCAATTATGAGGACAATAACTGACGGAATGTGAGAGAATTAAAAAATTTGAAACTAAACTGAAGTTCAGTGACTCAATTGAAATAAATTAAAATTTCGCTCAAAGTTCAGTTACTGTGGATAATCTGGTTATGCCACTCAATGGGTGGCAAGCGCTAACACACAATCTTTTGTAAGCAAACAAGACCGCATTAGAATGAAAATTTCCAATAAAAAATAATATAAGCTACATTTTGAATGCTATGCTCTGCAAAAGTAATAGCCATGAAATTATATTCGTGTTTTTCAATCACCACCCAAAAAAAAAGGTGTTGTATATGACATTCACCAGTTTATCAACACGCAAAGATTTTTATAAAATATCACCTTAGGTCCTTAGCATTGCCATCAACCAGAGAGCTGATGTCCCTGTGCAATCAACCCTTGCTTTTTCTCCGACTATTTGTCATTCTGGCCACTTTCGTCCCATTTCTGGAAGAAGATTCTGTAACTGCTGTAGACTGTTGCTCTGTATTAAACATCCTCAATGGACGCCATCAAACATCTCAGCTGCATGTACTCAAAAAAGGTGGCAAAGACCCATTAATAGCTTGCTATTTTTTCTTAGTAATGGCTTGTAGACTATAGAGGCAAAAGTAATTGAACATTATGTCTTATGTAGAAGTACCTGCTCCTCTAATTCTTGAATCTTCTCGTCCTTCAGATTTAAAAGCTTCTTCTCCCTTGCATTTTAAAAAAAATTCAAAATCAAGATATCATTATAACTAAAGGTAAAAGATTTAGAGCACCACGGTACAACCGATATGCTATTCATGAGAAAAGAAAGGAACAGAGAAGGTTGCACCACAATCAAATGAAATGCTCTATGACTGATGAATCACGTGTGTCTCCGTGACTGGGACTTCACCACCAAGTAATAGTATGTGTTATGCCCGAGGTCCAATCAACATTGAACATAAACACTTTTAATATTGAATTGAAGCATTTCATTTATGATCAGTAAATGAGATTGAAACGCATCCATATCTTGTAATTGACTGGTTCTTACTTGTGAAGTAAGTAACTGATCTCACAAGTTAAAGTGTGGTGATACTTAAATGAACACGTAAATATTTTGTTATAGAACAAAACATTGGAGACCCGTTGAGAAGATTATACATGGATAACTATTAGAGCATCAGTGATTAATATCTAACGTTTGGTAGTGGAATTGATCATTTGACTTGAAGTCATCATAGTGCCTTATATAAGGACAGTCATACTTTGGTGATATTAGATGTTGCTCTGCCAAGAGCCGCTAATATAGCATCGTTCGAGTATGTCAAGAATCATACGAAAGTTGTGAATGATTAATAGAGAATTTGTCACTCACAAATAATAAGAAATTATGATTTACATTTCATTCAATTAAGTTGATAATGAAATTCTTAATCAAAGTGTATCAATAAGTTGAAAATAACTTAATAGTGAGATGAAATATACGATTGATAATTGTAATTGACACATCCATATCTCATAATTGATCAGGATCATACTAACGAAATGATTATAATTTTACGGTATACGAACAAGTTTGATTTTGTCATATCACGTGACATTTTTCGTCACATGTAGACATATTTACTAAATGTCAATTTGAGACGACGATGTGAATTGATGATAAATTAAAAGGGAAGTATTTTAATTTTTTTACATTTTGATTAGATCAAAATAATGATTCTTGTCGTTAGGTATCGTGATCGGGAACCTAATGGGCCACACATTAAACAAGAACTAGAAGAATGTGATTCACCAATTAATTAATTAAGAAGTGTTGTACAATTAATTAATTGGGTTCGATTAATTAATTCATGAACCAAATTTAATTAATTGGATTAATTAAATATTGGACCTGGTTAAATTTAAGAGACGGGATAAGCCCACTTGAACTTTTATTAATAGGCTGTTAGGATTTGAAAAATCATAACAGAACACCATTCATATCTTGCTTGCATAAGAAAAGAGAAACATTAATTCTCATTTTTGTTCTTTATGTGAATTCCTATTAAAGGCTGAACAATTAGATAACTGTGGATTGCAGATTATGATTGTGTTTGTGTTCAAGATAAGCAAATGAATTTGCAGAATTCAACAAACATATAATTTCTATTACAATTTCTATCTAAACACAAAGCAGATTTAATGAGAATTGAAATTATTTTTATTTTCCGCTTTGTATGATTAAGTAAATTCCTAACAGTAAACTATTTCCAAACCTTTCCTTCTCCAACTATAGACTAACTATTCATGGACTTCACAAAATTGAAGAAAAATCTAACAGATTGTTTGACAATAAAGTTACCTAGTTATATTAGCAATACAACTTAGTTTTAGCTTAAAGTAAATCAACAAATAAATGAAGATAAATGTATTTTATTGCCATGAGGAAAATGAAGTGCCACTGGTAAAAGCTCAAATCAAAGTCAGTGCATTTGGTTGAGATGTAGATGTTGATTTTGAAAAGGCACAACAATATGAGTGAAATGAAACAAGATTTTGAAAAGGCATAACATTAAAGTGAAATTCATATAATCCAATACAAGTTCTCGGCACACATAACACTATCACACATAACACTGATGATAGTCTCCCTTATTTAAGTGGAACAACTAAAATCCACCAAATCTTCATATTATAACCATTATCCCTACATGTTTCCCTGTTAAGACATGATTTCGACAAGTTTTTCTTCATTTTTAGAGCAAGAAGTTCTTTTCTACTATGCTAATTGTTTTTGATGTATAATTTTGGCATAATAGATAATACAAGTGATACAAAGAAATATAAGTGATATAAAGCAGGGAATGCACATCGAACTCAAAGTCAATTAGAATACAGTCAAAAGCTTGACCCAAAACAAACAAGTTTTTTAACTGTCACAAACACAAGTTCATACCACAGTTTTATGGTAAGTAGAATGTATACTTACTTTTTGATAGTGCTGCCACTTGGCCTCCGTTCGGGGATCATTTTAGGGAATTAAAAGTTAATTCTATTACACAGTTAAAGTCAAACTTTAATTTCAACCACAAATTCAAAACTACCACTCATTATTATCCACATTTCGTGGTCCCCATCACTATTCCTCCTAAAAGATACCTAAAAATGTTTCCCGAACAGACTATTAGATTCCCCATTTTTTGCAAGGAACCTAAGTCATTCATGGGTAGACCAAATATGCAATTATATTCTACCTATCATGCTTCTTCCTGGGGTTAAGAGCAATACCTTTCTTCAACATCCCCTATCTTAGATTCCCATATGCTCTGGTTTCTCAGAAGATTATCATTGATCTACATTTAAAAAAGAAATATGACTTTAGATTTCCCCGTTAACAAGGACAACTACGAACTTTTTGTCCCCAATAAACAACTTAAATAAAATTATATATTTACTTGTTGAAACTTTAGCCCCTGTTCGGTGGCCTTAAAATTCAAAAACATAGTTTTGAATAGTATTTTTTGGAGAATGTTGGTTAAAAAATAAAAATAAAAAAGTTTTGAGTTTATGTGTAGAATAGTTTATTGTGTGAATCTGTGTTGAAATTGAGTACGAAAAATAAATTAAAGTAAAGGGAATCAAACAGGGGCTTAATAGGAAATGACAAAAAAATCTTGTGAAAAATCCCCCCTACATGAATAATTATTAAAGGAAATCCCAATTTACTCACATCATCAAGAAATTTCTTCTCTTCCATACACTTTTCTAGCTTTGCCTGCAATTTCAGCAATTTTGGATTTTGACTCAGAGATTTTTCCACGGCTGCAGAAGATTCTCTTTCAGTCTCCTCTTCAACTTCTTGCAATAAAGACTCAAAATACTGGAACCAAAGAGGAAGCAGTTCATATATTAGCAGAAATGCCATCATTTATCAGCTCAGCAATAACTCTTCAATGCATAAATAAAATAGACTACAAAAGTCCTACTTTCAAATAACATATTACGAGATAACTGGTAATTTCAGTTATACTGACAAAAAAAGATTTATGTAACCGAAACCAAAATTTAGTGGGAACAAGGATTAGGTTGTTGTAGAATGTAGTCAGAATACAGATCAAAACCATATCATCTTTGCATTTTTAAAAAGAACCCTAAATAGTAATTAGGTTATTGTAGAATGTAGTCAGAATACAGACCAAAACCATATCATCTTTGCATTTTTAAAAAGAACCCTTAATAGTAATTATGAAAAAAAAGAACGGACCTGTTTCTGGTTTTCAAGTTGTGAAGTTAGAAGCTCATTGTACTCATTCACTATCTGCATGTATAGAATTAGAAGATACGGAATACAGAGTTAGCCAGACTTATAAGGGCTAAAGATCAACAGTATAGCACTATGAAATAAGAGCAGCATCAAAGTACAGCTTCAACTTCACTGTGCAATATGGCATCATTGCTCCCAGAACAATCGCCACAAACCCCATCAGTATGCATGCAATGGTGGTTCAATTCAACCAACTTTCCGTCAATGTTGGATTGAATCAAACGATGGACATAGTTATCCCCAACATAGTCCCACACCCGTTGTGTTTCCAATTCAATTGAGTAGTAGTGTTGTGTTTCTTTCCAGTGTGTAATGGAATGTCCTTCCTTGTACCTGTACCAAATATGTTATTGAAAGTTTCATTCAACACTTTTCTTTCTTAACATTGATATCTCGTGTTTAACTTGGACCAATATCAACAAATTATCTCCATAAGGCCAGAGGAAGAATCACTACCTTCCACAACCAACAAAGCCACATATGATACACATCCAAAGGTTCTCAGCAGTTTGACAGACAAAGCATATTGACTTCTCGGGCTGCTCTTGGCAATAGCGGCATACCTATGTAAAAAGTTGCAACCAAGCACAATTTCAACTAATTTTCTTGTCATTATAAAGCAAAACAACTAATAAAGAATAAGAAGGCAACTGGGCAGTGCAAAAGACAGATAAAATGTTACAAGAAAACATATACATCTATGTTGCAGTGATCCTTAGCATCTAAACACATAATCGTCCATAAAAAAGGATAATGATGGGTCCAATCGTTTCAGCAAAAAAAGTTAACATACAAATTTAGTAAAGACACAAAACATAAAAATTGAGGAACATCCATCATGATTGACTAATCTTATGGCACCCATTTGATTTGGATGTCTCCTGCTTTCTCAGTAATAACCTATCTTAAGAGTATCAAACATTAACTTCAGAGGGGAAAAAAAATTATAAACATAGAGACCGTTATATACATATAAATAGCAACCTATGAGCTAAGAACACGCCTCCACTTTTGGGATTGGCCTGTTAACACCCAACTGTAAACATGATCACTTACATTGTAGAGGTGGAAGAGTCCAGTAGTCCCTCCACTAATACAAGTCGACTATTCTACTTCTAAGTGAAGGTTGGGAAAAGATGCATGTACAAAAATCTACGGTAAGTGGATATGGAAAGCATGTTTCTTGTTCAATTGTGAATATATAAATACATGGAATTCTGATATGTTGATTTAAAGCGATGCTAGACATCAGTGTGTCATGCATGACAGAAGAAAAGTGGATGAAGATGTATAACCAGCCATGTTACACTTCTTTATGTATCATAAACATCTGCCAGTCTATCCTTTGAGTAACATGACAGCAGTTGGTCATTTTAAGGAAACAAACAAGTACATAGGTATATTTGATTTCCATAATTTCAAGTAATTTCCAAATCCATTTTATAAAGCAACATAAGTTACTCACAGGGCAAGAAGAATCTGTCCATTTAGAAATACAGGAGCAATGGAAAGAATGATTGCATATAGTAATGAGAATTCCACTGGTGTCCTGGTCTAACCTCTCTGCAAGTGGCAGAAAATAAGAGAATTATGACAGAATGAAACTGCCGCAATAACCTCGAGAACGTTCATGCACTTACAAAATGACAACCAATCTCACAAGGCCAAAGATAAATGAAACAAACAATCAATTTCTCAAACAAAGCATGCAAATTCCCAGTCTCCATAACTCTAATGGGAAGTATAACTAAAAACTGAAAATGGACTACTAGAGTTGACTAAGCTGTTTTGCCGCAGGTTGATCTCATGCTATAAATCATGACATATTAGTGCTTATTTGAATTCTTAAAGAAACGGTTTCTATGCCTCGTATGTTATACTAACCACGATGCAGAATAACATGTTAATAGGTTGCAAGCAATTGAACAATATATGGGTGGGTTCAGAAAAAAACTACTATGATATTTTTAATAAGATCCAACTTCCAATACACCATGAAATTCACAAGTCACGAGCATCCATCACCACAATGAATGTTCTATGAAAAATACCAAGACAGACAGGACAGGAGGGCTGATCCATAGAGCTTGTGGTAGAAATCTGTGAATGCTCAATTGAACCAGTGTACTGGATGTCAATAGTGTAAAGCACTCGGCAAATCTCATCCTGTATTAGATGACCAAGTTATATGCTAACAACAAAAAGGCACAATTTTACATGAACCAATATGGCATCTTTTAACATAAAAACTTTCAAAAGATTCAATAAATTAGATAACCAGACAGAGAAACATACATCAAGAGATGAGAACCGCTTCCCATTAAAATGCTTGTAAAAACTATCTGCTGAGTCTTGATCATTAAACCTGATCAATATATTATAGCAATCCTCTATCCCCTCATTCCTGAATTCTCACAAATTATACCAAAACCAAATTTAGTGGGGGAAAAAAGCACTAAATTACAACCAATTCCATAATAAAAGCATAGCATTTCTGAAATCAAACCTGACAATACGCATTTCCAACATATGTTGAATGAACGAACCACAGAACTGGCAAAAATCTGCATATGTCATGTGATTGGGCACCCCAAGCACACAAAGAAGAGGCCTTCGTTCAACCTTGAGGGTATTAGTAAGTAATTAGATATAAAAAAATCAACCTCACAATCAAAATTTCAAGCAAGTATATATCTTTCTAAAAGATTTCAACAATATAGGAGGGAGACCTATGAAGTACAGAAGAAATGAAGGTTATTTTTTCTGCCATTTTTTACATTTCTAATTCGGGTATATATTTTTTTAAAATTTATGAATAACAAGAAATCATATGCGAAAGGCTTTCACCTCCCTTGAGGCCTTTTGCTTTGCCTTGCCTTGCCATGCCATGCCAAAGGAAAAATGGCTTACCTTGCACCTTCATCTTTAAAAAGATTAGAATGAACAAATGAAGTGAAGGCTTATGCTGTTGGCTGGGGGGCGGAAGGAATGGGTGCAAGTGTTTAGATGGTGAATGGATACATGAATTATTTTCCTTCCCTATAGGTTTGGAGAAGGGTAATTTGTTCATTTTGCAGTTTCATGTGAACCAATATGGCAGAATCCATCAAAGTATTACAGAGAGCTAACAGAGCAGTGTTGATCATTAAATTCTAATCAGATAAGTAGGTTTTCTATAACGAGGAGCAGTTTCAGACCTGGTTCATAGAATGAATAGGTTCTTGCCCACTTTTACTAGAACGTAATCAAATTCTTGGCTAGTAATGGATGACATTTTCATTGTTCTGAATCATACCAGAGACAAGAAGTTTGTGAAAATTCTAATTTACAGTTCATTAAAAGCCCAACTATTCTAGTTAACTTTCAATCAATAACATAAGAATTCTATCAATTCACATTAATCAAAATAAAAATTGTAAAAAATTTATTTTGATAAACTCCCTCCGTTGGGAAAGAATATTGTAGTTGGCTGAGTTGGATGATGAACATTTTTTAGTGCAATACTTCATATCAATTATCAATAAATAACTAAAATTCAATGGTATTACTCCTCAGGGAATGCATTAGAATATCCAAAAATAATTGACAGAAAAAAATTAAATAAATTTACATAAAGTATTTCTCCGATAATCATCAACTGGATTAAAAACATGCTAACTCCAAAACTCACAATGGCAAATGGTTTATTATTTTGGTCTCGCTAAGTATATTTTCTAGTACGAAAATAGAACATAAAATGAGGGAAATTACTGGAAGTTGGGAGGAGGATGAAGCGACATCGTCACGGTATAGATGCATGACGCCTCTGATCTCTTCGATTCTAGGGTTTCCGCAAGAGAAGTGTAAGGTCAGAGCAGAAACTGAGGCCGATGAGTCTCCGGCAGAATTCACGGCAGTTGACGACCGGAAAATGTCCTCCAGCGCAGGTCTGGCGGTGGCGCTCGAACTTGTTGAGGTCTCTTCCGACATGTTTGCTCTAAGTGTGTGTGTGTGTGAGAGAGAGAGAGAGAAGGATCTGTTGCCGTGCGGGAAGCCGGGATCGGAACACTTGAACAGCAAATGGCGCGTTTCGCCGGGACCTAGAGTCGCTTTTGGGACTAAAAGTGCATTCAGGTAATGCGATTCCCAATCGGACGTGGGTCTCGTGTACGAGACATGCTACAGGTATAAGATCACACACAACAAGGGTGGGTGGGTTAAGTTTTGGGTACCGCTATTTCCATCCACACTTTTTATATATACATCCACTTTTAAAAATTAAATTTTATTATATTTTAAAGCATATGTAAATTTACTTAAATAGACATAAACTATTTTCAATGAATAGTAGCCAATTAAATTGTGCAGGTTTCTTTTAAAACTATTTTCAATGCATCTAATTATGCAGGTTTCTTCTTCCGGCATCCCTTATAGCCGTCAATTATGTGGTTGCGTACTTTTGTGGCTTCTTCTTTGGTAAAACACCATTAATCAAGCTATCCCCAAAGAAGACCTGTGAAGGGTTTATTGGAGCATCTGTTGCTACCATATTATCCGCATTTCTGGTAAACATATTATTACTTAGAAACTATAAGGGTCCGTTTAATTGTAAGGAAAGAAAATTTATGAACAAGAATGATAAGATTTCTAATAAACACTATTAACATGGATAAGTGAATAATATATGTTAATTTAATGTTTAATCAGATCAATTTTATTCATATTTCTTTGATTTGGTTTTAAAAAGTTTATGGTTTTAGGATTTATATGAATTTTTAGTGTTAGAGATGCATTTAAAATGGAATGAATATATAAAATTCATGTGGATGTACATAGTATTTAAATAAATGAANAAAACATTCCAATAAACTTTTTCTTTAAGGTTGGAAGGTTCGAATTCTTGGACTTTGTAAATTTGAATATAATTTGCCAAAATATATATAGGTTATTGCAATAAAACTAACAATATTATTCAATATCTTAATGATATGAGAAACATTTTTTCCATGAGGTTAAAGGTTCAAAACCTTGAACCTTCAAAAAATTCTTTATTTACTTGATTATAAAAGGAAGGGTAAAATAGATAGAATTATGCTAAATGTACATAATCAATTACACAATTCTTTACACTCCTCTCACATGGAGAGGGGCTCACACACAATAAAATATTCGTGGGTCCCCCTCCATGTGAAAGTGGTGTAAATGATTGTGTAAACCATGAAGTGTACATGTAGCACAATCCAGATAGATATAAGAAATTTTTAAATAATTAATTCTTTTTTCTTTTAAAGAATTTCGGTCAAATCCCATTTAAACAAAACTCGTTGATGGATGGTCATTCAAACTCATCCCCAATCCCTAATTCTAATGGGTAGAATTTCCTCGGCAGTAGAAATCCCCGAAGACCGTCGCCGCCATAGCCTCCGAGAAAATGGCCGCTATCCTACTGAACCCCATAATTACCACCGTCTTAGCCCTAGCCGAGGCCGCAGCATAAGCCGGAGCCGGAGTCCAAGCTACAGTCGAAGCCCGCCAACCAGGTACCGTCGCTCTTCTCCTGATTATTCGTCGTACTCTAGACGTAGCCCAAGGCCCGATGAAACCCTCGATTCCGATGGAAGAAATAGAAACACGTATGATGATAGAAAGACCCTCAAATCTAATGGAAGAAATAGAAACAGGTATGATGATAGAAATAAACAGTTCCTCGATCGAGATTATAGAAACGGACGACATGGAGAGTCTGAATCGGATGAAGAATTGAAAAGTTNTCGAGATTATAGAAACGGACGACATAGAGAGTCTGAATCGGATGAAGAATTGAAAAGTTTGGGATTCGAAGAGTACAGGAGGCTTAAGCGCCAAAAATTGAGAAAATTGCTTAGGAATTGTATTTGGAATAGTACTCCCAGCCCTCCTAGGGATCCAGAACAATCATCGGATTTGGAACCTGAGGATGAAATTACCAGGAAAGTTGAAGAAGAAAAAGAGAACAGAGAGGATAATAAATTAAAGTCTGGTTCGAAAAGAGTGAGCAGCAATTCGTCTGAGAGTGAATCTGAGTCAGAGCCTGAGGATTTTGAATCTAGATCAGATGACTCGCTGTCAAGGAAGAAGAAGAGTAAAAAGTCGAGTTCAAGGCG